AAGTAATTTCACAGTGAAAATTTTGAAAGACCAAGGTAAACAACACTGGTAATGGGACATTAGATGTCGTATGCCTTCTGCTATAATGTGCTAAGAAGGTCACATCACATTTATGATACTCTTTCAAAAACCTTATACCCTCTATATAAGATCATGAGGCATCTCTGTGGAAAACTAAAATTTGACATATAAACTATCCTACACCATTATCCCTATAAGTTAAAGTGAAAACTGTGTGTGTGTTTTCATTTTATAGTACTTGGGTAGGTATCTTGGAGGTATGTAAAGATACCTGTAACAAAACAATTGAAGAGCATTGTACTAACATTGAAATAGCAATTAGAGACCAATGTCATTAGTAAATAATCAGCCTCCCACCTATTTCATACAATTAGTTTACACATAACTTACTTCCATTTGGAGCCTTACATATCAGTAATGCTTATAAAGACACTTTTCATATCTTGACAAAGAAGCTTGAGTTATGTAAATGAAGAACAAAGTAATTAATAGAAGATTTCTAGCATATACACATTTTCTAAATGCTTAAGAGAAAATAAAGATGAGTTTAAATCATATTTTTTTCTGCACATACCTTATTCATTTCTTCTCCAGTCTCATTTTCTTTATATAGATGGTTTTTCTTCTGCAGTTATTCTATTAACATGAAAACTATATTTGCAAATGATAGTCATAGATAAAACTTTATTTGTAAATGGTGGTGGTGGTGGTGGTGGCTGTGGAGTTGGTTCCGACTCTTAGCAACTCTACATAGGTTTCCGAGGCTGTAAATCTTTATGAGAGCAGAAAGCCTCATCTTTCTCCTGCAGAATGGCTGGTAGTTTCAAACTGCTGACCGTAAGGTTAGCAACCTGACTCATAACTACTACGCTACCAGAGCTCCGTTATTTGTAAATAGTAAACTATCATTTAAAGCTATTTTTTAATTAACAAATGTTTGAAGTGCTGTTATTTTGCCAGCTGCTGTGGGAAATAAGAAAACATAAAGCAATTTCTGCCCATACACCCTCGGAAACCCTGTACAGGGTCGCTATGGGTCGGAACCGACTCGACGGCACTTACCAACAACAACAACATGGAGTGCAGGATCCAGTAGGGGATGGTAAATGGACATGTGTGGCCAGATGGTACAGGAATTAAAGCATTAAGATGTAAATACAGAGTACAGCTATTTCTCAGATATGGTGTCATTAGCATGGCTATGTGTCGAAGAGGCCAGCATAAGAGCAGACCAAGTATTTGTGGGCATAGGATATCTTGAGATCTGTCTCTGGGGAATTTAAAACAATCTTTCCAGTCTTTTAAAATAAATTGCAAGCATAACAATAAGTAATTTATGCTTCTGTTGTTTTATATATAATCATCTCTTTAGAGTTCCAGACAATTGCCAGTGTCCAAGCTACTTGTTTCTGTTTTAAAAAAAAAACAAACAAACCCACAAACTATATATGTATATTGTTGGTGAGTACCAGCAGTCGTAGTAACTCTCTTTTATCCCTCTCTTGTGCCTGAGTGCAGTCGGAGGAAGAGGAATTGGAGTTGGTGAGTGTGGGCTTTTGCTTGAAGAGAGTTGAGAGATGTAGAAAGTATTAATTCTCTAAAATGTTTTTATTAGTGTTCCCTTTGTTGCACAGATTTTTAAAAATCAAACACTTCCAAATTAAGAACTAAAGCAATCCATTGGTGTTGCAGCATCTTGTTTTTCTGATTGTTACTGTGTATGTGGACCCCTTTTATTTGTTGGAGGGGACATTGCCATTGTTGTTGTTGTTGTTATGTGCCGTGGAGTCGATTCTGACCCATAGCGACCCTGTACAGGGTTTCTGAGGCTGTAAATCTTTACGGGAGCAGAACGCCTCATCTTTCTCCCATGGAGCAGCTGGTAGTTTCGAACTGCTGACCTTGTTGCTTGCAGCCTGATTCGTAACCACTATGCTACCAGAGTTCCTTGGACATTGCCGTAGATCATGTAAAAACATGAGGTATCCATAAACACAGGACATTTGTTCAAGGTTTGATTTTTTTTTTTTTTTTAAGAAAAGATAAAATATACCTTATATAGTTCCCCAAATTACTATTTTATTTTTAGAAAGTGACTTCACCCTTAAAGCTCCTCAGATTGTTGCACACAGTCTTGTATTTTCTTTCGTTCAAAAAGATTACATCATTTCTGATGAGGTCACCTATTAAGAGTTGTAATTGTTTCATCCCGCATTAGAAGATCTGAACCACAAGGGGATTCCCTGTTTACTAAGAGGAATGTCTGTATGTAATTAAAAATGTATAAACTTAACTTTTTCTGTCAGAATACTTTCTGTTCTTAAAAGCAACTCTCCTTCCACCCCATCCCTAAATGATTTATATTGACTTTGCCTTGAGAAAATAATTTTTACTAAAATTAATTTGCAGTTGATCTACTTCTTTGGCAACTAAAACCCAGAAGTATTCATATGAATTCAGTCAGCTTGCTAATTTGATGTCTATAATTTATAGAAATTTAAAAGTTAAAATGATTTTGTTTTTAGGTTAGACAAGTCTCATATTGCATGAAAGCATGGGGAGAAGCGTATATCTATTGGTATTACTTACATTTTACTATTACATGTTTATGCATGCTCTGGTATACTTTTGCACAATTTATTTTCTTTTCAAATAAGATCTGTGCTGTTTAAATTAAGAGATCATCCTTTATTTAACTTCATGATTGCTCTTATAGTTTTGGCTGTGTTGTGTATTAACAGAAATACAAAGAAGCTTCAAAAAGCTCTGGAAAAATGAAATCAAGGGAGAGGGGAATTTTATCGCAACTATTTTGAAACCCCCTTGCAATCTTAATTAGCTGTGAATGTAATCTTAGATTATATTATGTGAAGATTGGAATATATTTTGGTGAAATTCCTAATGGTAGAGTAGTGATTAGCAAGTGGAAATTTATAATTCAAGCCAAAATAATTCATCCTAAATGTGTCATTATGCTTAGATTGTCATGAATGCTTCCCTGGAAGTTATCTGGCTATATGTTTCCCTCTAGTGGTTGTGAACATCACTTACTCTTGTAGAATTTACCCGATGAGATTCTGAATTTTGGTGGGTCATGCAAGGGCTTGTCATAGAGATGAAGTGTGGATGTTATTCACTTAGTACTTGACATGTAAAGTGCCAATGACTGAACCATGAATGGACAAATTAAATCCAGTAGATCACTGTATTAAAAAGAAATCATAAAATTAGTAACTCAGTGTTGAGACTGGGAGATATTAGTGTAAAATTATAAAAACCTTTGTTAAACAAAAATATGAAAATGTGAAGCTATTATTTCTCCACATAGCCTCCTTTTATGTCTCTATACTCCTGAAGGTGGTGTTTCCACCTCTCTAACCTTTTCCTGAAGAATGATGCACTCTTTGATTTACACCATGTCAAAATGACAATTTTGACATGGTGTAAATGACAATTTTGGCATTCTCAAAGGATTCAAATCATGTCCTTTTTAAGTGTTGAATTTGAAGGACAAAATAAAGCCTGTAGGGTAGATGAGGGTTAAAGTTTCCCAATGAAATTCTCATAAGACAATTCTTTCAGTCCTCAAAGAATGACCCGGTGACTTGTTAGGATGGAAAAAAAATTCCTTCGTGCAACTTTCCTGGCCTTTTCCTCACCGATACAGTGTTCAATTTTATTAAAAATTATTCTTAATAAGCCTCCTGTGTTCATCTTGTGTACTTCAGGAAAATCTATCAAGATTGTTACTGGCTGTCATCGAGTCAGTTCGGACTCAGCCATGTCATGCACAGCAGAATGAAATACTACCCAGTACTATGTCATCACAGTTGTTGTTTATGTCTGAGCCAATTGTTGCTGCACCCCTTCAGAATCCCCAAAACCAGCAACCTTCTGTCTTTAACTGACCCATAGATCCCCTCCGAAGCCACTATTTTGATTGGACCTTCGTTTTGAAGGCACCTTAATGAAACAAATATAGTACTAAAAGAACTTGTTTGCAGCTACCCACTAATCGCAGAGACATGTTTACGCATTTTGTTTGGAATAAACTCAGGCATGTATGAACTGAAACTGTAGCCGCAATATTTTGTTTATTTAACCTAGTAAAACCAGAAACACAATCTGTTGGAACTTAGAAAAGTATTCAGTTTGGTTTGAACTCTAAAATAGAATCATGGATGACTGTGATCTCAAGCAAAAAAGGGACAGTACCTGCAGAGCCCGCCTTAGACTCTTCTGGAGAAAAGGAGGCTCTGCAGGTTCCCTTAGCAGCTTCCAGTTCTAGAATGAATACTTCTGACAGCTCAGAGAACTGGCTGTACGGGAAAAAGGATATGAAAAAGTTATCGCCCCGCCCCCTTTTTCTTTGTGGTTAAAAGTTTTAACCAATTTGGTAGAACTCTTGGGAGCAAAGTTGTTGCTACGTGCCGATGAGTCTGTTCCAACCCATAGCGACTCTGTATAGGGTTTCCAAGGAGCGGCTGGGGAGCTTGAACCCACTGACCTTGCACTTCAAACTGATTTTGCAGTCCCACGCATCAACCCACAGTGCCACATCAGGAGTAAAGGGTGCTCATCTTAAGTTTGTTTAGTATTTCAGTTACCAAAGCACTCGCAGACATTCTCTGTTGTAGTAGTGTGAGGTGCGCAGGGCAGTGGTTGCTGTCTTCCCTGCTATCCAGACAAAGAGTATAAAACTGATAGGAAGTGTAGCCACATTCTACAGTATCTAATGTCATCTAATGTCAACAGGAGAGAAGATACAAACTAAAAAGAAATCAATTGAGATCTGGATTCTCATGCAAGTAAACTTTTTCTCAGGTATCTAGTGTGGAGCATTTATTATTGCTCCTCTCACAATCCTGTACTCAAAAGTGATTTATTTAAAAGCTTTCTACTCAGAACCTTGCTGTTTAGAAGAGTCTGGAGAATATAGAGGGAGACATATCTGAAACTGCTGTTAAATAGATGGGGGGTTTGTTGTTGTTGTTATGTGCCGTGGAGCCATTTCCGAGGCTATAAATCTTTACAGGAGCAGAAAGCCTCATCTTTCTCCCAAAGAACAGCTGGTAGTTTCGAACTGCTGACCCTGAGGTTAGCAGCCCGATTCGTAACCACTATGCTGCCAGGGCTCATTTGGAGGGAAGGAATTCAAGAAATCAGAATACAAGGTGTGCTTCAATTAAGGCATGACTTAAAACCCTGTTGACATAAAAATGTTGTAAATAAACACCAGTTCGACAGCACTTAACAACAACAACAGGTACTCATGGACTTAGAATCCCAGACATACAAATGGTCTTCGCTGTCATCAGGTATTTAGAGTCTGAACTTTATTGAGAGTCACCTGGCGTATTTGAAATGGCATTAGATTCTTAATTATGAAACATATGAAAATGTTATCACCAACAATGTCCATTTCTATTTTAAGGGCATGTCTATGACATCGATAAACTCTGTATGAAAAAAAAACAAAGAAAATGAATAATATTAAAATATGCTCATTTAGTATTTTAATTAGTATATTTTAGTACAGTTTCTTTTATTTAATATCTTCATATCACTTCAGGAAATAAGATATTCACATTATAAAACTGTAAATTGAATGTTATTTTTAAAGTATTAATGGCACTTTTTGTTTTTTCAATCTCTCACAGAATACCCAGAGGATAAACAGTTCTCAAGCCAGTCAGCCTCTCGCTACTCCAGTGGTGTCTGTGACAACCCCAAGCTTGCCTCCACAGGGACTTGTGTACTCAGCAATGCCTACTGCCTACAACACTGGTTAGCCTGCTCTGCAGCCTTTCATGTGGTTATTTCTCTGTCTTGTGACCAGTATGTCTAAAAGTATATGTATTGAAAGAAGTTACCAGTTTTTAAGATTCACATTTGGGTAAATTAAGAAACCAAACAAACATGCTAGCCTTTAAAAAGCTGTAAGGATTAATGGTACACTGAATAAATAGGATCGCTCTGTCGCTTGCACGTGAAGTTTTCACACTCAAACAAGCTGTTGTTGGTACTGCTGTTAAAGGGCCGTTGAGTCAGTTCTGACTCATAGCTACCCTGTTATACAGGGTTTCCAAGCAGCTGCTGGTGGGTTGGAACCAAGCTTGCGGTTAACAGTCCACTGCTTATCCTACAGTGCCACACCAGGATTCCATCAAACAAGCTGTTGTTCTTATTGCTGAGTGCTCTTGAATACGTCAGATTCATAGCAACCCTGTGTAGGCTTTCCAAGGAGCAGCTGCTCAGTTTGAACCACCAACGTTGCAGTTCAAACTGACCTTGTGGTCTAGGGCAGTGTCATCCTAGCACCACACCAGGACTCCATAAAACGTGATGTGGTTGTGGTTAGGTGCCACCGAGTCAGTACCGACCCATAGCGACCATAAAACATGTGGCTGTTACCAAAACTACGGAAGCTAATAGTCTATTGTTTAGAATATTTCATGTATTTTTTTTTTTTTTATTACACAGTATCTCATTCCTCCAGGTTTTCCAAATGGATTGTTTCTCTATATGCAATGTTAACCTACTTTGGGAAATAACCTGAATCCCCTTAGACCTTATGAGTCAGGATGTGGTACTAAATCCACTGATTGCAGACTAGCCTATTGTTCAGTTGGCCTAAGGCCTGATACTGTCTTATAGAACAAGAGGACACTGAATGGTTTAAAATCAGGAAAGGTGTATGACAGGGTTCTATTCTTTCACCATATGCTGCCTGCTGAACAAATAATCCAAGAAGCTGGATTATATGAAGAAGAACGTGGCTATATACAACCTTGCTTGCTGAAAGCGAAGAGGGAGGACTTAAAATACTAATGAAGATCAAAGACACCAGCCTTCAGTGTGGATTTCACCTCAATGTAAACAAAACAAAAATCCTCACAACTGGCCCAATACAATAACATCGTGATGAATGGGACAAAGATTGAAGTTTTCAAAGACTTCATTTTGCTTGAATCTACTGTCCACACTCATGGAAGCAGCAGTCAAGAATCCAACAACATAATTGCATTCGGCAGCTCTGTCACACAAGACCTCTTTAAAGTGTTGAAGAGCAAAGATGTCAGTTTGAGGGCTAAGGTGCACCTTACCCAAGCCATAATATATATTTTTTCTCTTCTGTCATAATTTTTCTTTATTTTAAATCTATGATAAAGTAAACCAAACGTAACTTAAATTCTCTGTATGCCCTTTGATACATTACTTTGTTACAAGTTAAAATAACAAAGCTAGCATATGTTCAGACAAAATAATCCTTTGTCATATAGTGTCCATATACTATTTTTTTTTTTAATTTAAGGTTTTTATTGTGCATTGAGTGAAAGTTTACAGGGTACATCATCAGTTTCACATTCAACAATTCATATAACTTGTTTCATTACATTGATTATAATCCCCTCCATATTCCATGAGTTAAAAGTATTTCTCTCTATC